CGACACTCTCTAGGGGCCTCCCACGTGTGTCCTGCGGCTTCTTCTGCCTCTGTTGGATTTCCCCCTCCTCTCCTCTCCCGAGCCGTTTCCGGGCCCTCCCCGGGTGTCTCCTTCCAAGCCACAGCCTCAGCCCTACCCACGGCTCCCAGAAGCTTTGCTTAAGCTGCCTGGAGTTCCCAGGGTCCCAGGGACACAGATCCCACCCCAGCTGTGAGCATCCCCCTGGCTGCCGTGGGCACAGTGCCTTCTGACACAGTGATGCCCAGCCCTCCCACTCAGAGTCAGCGGGACCCAAAGGAAAACCCCTCAGCTCTGTCTGCGCCAACAGCAGAGGTAGCCAGAGCTGGGTTTAAAAATATGAGCGCCCAAGTACCCTGAGTGCCAACTGCCCACACAGCCTGCAGGCTGTGCTGCCCACTCCCAGATGTCATCGTGGCCACTGTGGGTGGCACAAAGGGAATGTGGTGGGGGGGTGGTGAGTCCAGAGAGGCCCGGGGGTGGCTAGTGAGGGGGATGGACATTCCTCAGAGCCTAGACCACAGAATAGGGCTGTTTACACCATCTGGTCATGCCCACTTCTTTGGTCTCTGGAAATAACCAAGCCAATTCTGTTCAGACTCACAGTGTCATAGGAAGTAGAGTCTAACAAGGCTGGAATCAAATCCTGAGTTGGCCACTTACCGGCTGTGTGTGTTTGGGCAGGTCACTTGGCCTCTCTGAGCCTCAGCTTCTATCTGTAAAATAGAGATAATAAAAGTACCTACCTCATAGGGCTCTTAGGAGAATTTGATGAGACAGTGCCTGCAAAGGGACTTAGCTCGGAGCCTGACCCGCGGTAAGGACTCGATCAGGGGTAGTTGTCTTTGCTGTTTCGGTTATCATGATATGGCGTGGCTTTGCTATACCACAAGGTCTTCATTAGATCTCGACCAAGGAGTAAAGGAGAGAGTCGGAAATGAGATGTCCATGCTCCACTCTCTTGTAGCCTCCAGACCCCTAAAGTCCAGGCACATCTGGCACCCACGAAGCCAACAATGGGGTTCCTTCTCTTGGTTAGATAAATGGCAAATTGGGGCCCAGACAGGGACTGTGACCTGCGCAGGCAAGCTGG